AATTTTATGAAAATAAGCAGGCAAGTGTACTCAAAGTAAATCTCAAAGTAAATTCTAGGAGAATAGCTATTTCATTCTAAATTAACAAACCCAAAAAAATCAGTATACAATAAAAAGTTATATTTTGGATGCTTCATTTAGTGAGAAAAAGAAATAAGTATTTTTCCAGCAAAATATAATTTTCCAAACAACTGTCTCAGATTTCAAAAAATTAATTTCTCTTTTATCTATGTTACATTCTGCTATGAAACTGAAAATAGATGAATCGGCCCCCTAAAACTGAAAAATCATATGACCCTAACTTCTGAATCTGCAGATTTAGTCAATACTTACAAAATTATCTCAACAAACTATTTATTCTCTGTCCGTCTAGAGTTGTCCAATGTTTTAATAAATAACTTGCACAAAGAAATTGCATTGGATGGTCCCCTGCAGTAACAAATATATTTTATTCACACTTCATTTTGTTAAATCATCCTTGATTTCCAAACAAGAGGAGGGATGTTGATCTTGATCTTATTTTCTTTGTGAAACAATTAATTCTACTTTATGCCTCAAAGGATTTGTTCACTTTTCCATGATAAACTTGTACACACTTGCCAAAAGTAATGTAAGTGTTTTGCATTACTGTGTGAAATCGTGATGTCACCAGCACTGCCTTAATTAATTTTGGATTATTTGTGTCACAACTGTGAGTAAAACAATCCACATCTTAAATTAAATGGAAAGAACTAGCAAAGCTCCCTGTTACATTTTTTCAACCATCCACTTACTTGTTATGGTGAAAATGGCAAAATTTTATTATACTCTTCAAAAAGAATAACAGCTATACTAACATTGCTAATATTTCTTGAGTTATGGATCAAGTCAGCATCATACAATATCTACATGAAAACTTTTCCACTTATGTAAGATGCATAGATCTACTCAAATCTGTGAAATACACAGAACAGTAGCTAAAGGTCATAGGGAAGTAATTCCAGTCCAAAACAAGCCTACCATGTGTCTACTTTCTTTCTTTGGAATAATTTCATGATCTCATTGTTTTTCAATAATGCCGTCACCCATCAAACTGTACTTACCCCCATTCCAAATTGTTCCTGGGATCTCAGTCTCCCTTACTCACTCCAAAAGAAGCTGTGAAAACCTACTCATCCTGCTTCTGGAACTTGTTTGGGTAATAAAAATTGGGGATGGTTTTCATTCACATATGTTTAAAATTATGTTGTGTACATTGTGTTGTCCACAAGATTAAGTTATATTCCTTTAAGTGTTAATAAAGATACCTGAGAAATAAAGAATTCACTCAAATTACATTTTTAAATAGGTTTGGAAGTACAGATTTTCTAAAGAGATCACATCATTAATAAACTATGATGTACTTCATGAATAAACTTAAACTTTAAAACTATTTTTCCAATTTGTTAGGGATTATAGTTATGTTTTAGAAATTTTATCCTAATGAATGGATATTCCTCTTACTATGATTTGAAACATTTCTATTACAACCTGAATAAATCACCCACTTCTTTCAAAAATATTTTATTCCTCTACGAAAGCAATTTTAAACAGAATAAATTTGAAAGAGAAAAATGATAAAAGTTTAACATTTATAAACAACATGCTTCAGTTAAATCACTAAAATATGCGACATATTCATTCTTTACTCTTTGTCTTAAAATACTGACTTTCTGATTCTAGCAAAATATAATTTTAGTAACTCATCAAGACAGAATATATAAAATTGGCACACTTTGATATGCACACAAATTGAGAAAGCATCTTTCTCAACTGTGTTGCAGAAAATGAAATGCATCTGGTGTGACAATATGGCCTTGCACGTGAACTAGAATCAGTGAAAGAAAGGAATATTTTCCTTTTTTTCAAAGCAGAACACTTTAAATAGTGCACATGCATTAGAAGGCATGTTAAAGTGTGTTTTAAAGGTATACTTGGCTAAAGAAAACAGCAGCAAGAGGGCTGTCAGGGCATAAGAGGTAACACCTTTTGTTCAGTTTTAATCATCATACATCAGTGACTTCCAAATCCCTTTCCCTGCAGTCCAAACTGCTTTTATGCTTTTGCTTAATATCTCCACCAAGTGTTAGAGCATGTGCACATATGTTGTTGGGGCCTCATGCGGGGTTGGGGGGTGGAGAGGTGGGGAGTGTGTTGGAGAACATGGCTGGTGCCAGGATTAAGCAAAGAAAAAGAGAAAAATTGAGCAATTTTCCTAGTGTTGCAATGAATTTTCTATCTTCCTTGAGAGGTCTTTTTATCTAGGCAATCTGAGGATGAATTTAATGCTTTTATTGTCTTTTCTTTCATGTGCCCATCTGTGCTTATGAACTGTGAATAAAGCTGAAATATTCATATACTACAAGCTCCCTCCCCATGCCAAAGAGTATTTGAAGACAAAGTGCTGAGAGACCAAGCAAGGCAAGATCTCTAAGATCTGTAAGAAACCTGGAAGATTCTTGCAGAGTTAGTCTACTCTTGGACACCTTAGTGAGTCCTCTTCCAATTCCATTTCCCAAATTCATTTTCACCTCTTTTCCATTCAGAGAGGGGAAAGGGGCTCCCTTGAGTTGGCCATGATGTGTCTAGAGAAATAAAGAATCCTCCCTCCAGTACTGGAGAGAGTGCTGCTGAAGGCTGGATTTACAACTCAAAACAGAGAAAACTGTCCACTCCTCAGAGAGTTTCCTTAGCAGCAGATGCAGGGAGCTAACAACGGGCTTCTTTTGCAGGCTATTCATGGAAAGATATTTAAGCTATTTTACTCTTCCTATCTCTTCATTAAAATGAAAAGCTTCTTTAGAATTATAGATGGAATAATTAAGTCATTTGTAAATATGATATAATTATACATATAAATGCAACTTGTATCACAGAGAGAAAAAAATAAATTAATATAACTAATTTAGCATAGAACTGATTCTAGGAATGTGGAATAAAAACTCCAGAATGTACTTTTGATTAGTACCTATGAGTCCTAATCTGTAAAGCTGAAGTCATCTCAGAAAGTTAATACATTCTAAAAGTTGTCAAAAGTCAATGTTGTGATGGAAAAAGATTCTAGAGAATGGCATGAATATAAAACCCCTCTCAGTCACTTACTAACCATGTGACCCAGGGAAGTTTATTTAACTTCTTTAAGCATCAGTTTCCTAGTCCATGAAATGACAACAAGAACTTCTATCACTAGGACCACTAGTCATATAAGTCTAGAAAATGCCTAGCATATAATTGAGGCCTGTACAACACTGTTACTTTAGTATTCTCTTTAAATAAAAGTAAGTGTTTTGTATACAAAATTGTGAATGCAAATTCATATTAACATAGCAGTATTTTTAAAATAAATATTGATAATTTCTTGAAACTTTTTGATTAAAGTGAACATAAAGAATTATGCAGAGCTCTCTGCTTTTGCTTTGAACATACCCTGGTTGGGTGCAAATTCATTTAGTAAGTTAGTATTCCCAGTGGTGTGATTATCTACCTTCCAATTCAATCATTGGCTTTATTGTTCTCAATAGTAAAAGTTAACAACAACAAATGTAAACAGATGCCAAACTCTAAAATTCTTACACATTAAAATTATGTGCACACACAAAAATATACATTCTAAGTACATAGTATTTACCACTATGGCATTAATAAGTTCCTTTTACAACCACTTTTCCCCCTATTTTTCAAGCCAGGAAGAGTTCTATTCAATTATCTCTAAAAATGAAAGGGAAGGTAGAGTTAGGCATTTTGTCGGCATTCTCTACTTACTCTTCAGAGAAGAATCTTTTCTCTAAAACACAGTGTTTATTTAATGCAAGCAATTCTGATTATTAGACAATAAAATACACTGGCATTCCGGTATATTTTCTGAAACAACAAATCAGCCAGTACAGTATTAAAAAAAAATCCACTGAAAGCCCACTTATTCCCATACCTTACCCCTCAAAACATAGCCTTATGTTTTTTGTAGCTCAAATCTAATTAAAGTTTTCATGTGTGCAAAATGTCATTAATCTAATAATTAATCAAAATCAAAATAATGCGTTTTTAAAAACTTAGAGGTATTGCAAGAGAGGAATTCTTTGGTTCTCTGGTGGAATGGAGCCTTCACAATATTTTCTAAAGTTAACATGATTTGATAGTTCCAGCAGAGAGTTACTGTATAAAACCAAGAAAGAGCAACCACTCACTGGACCAACACAACACTAGGTGGATTTACCGATTCTACATTTCTGTTTAAGCACATGAAAAACTTGATTCTTGACTGGCCAGAGTCAACCTAGCGCAAAAAGCAACATACTTTAACCGCAGTTGCTTCGGATGGCTTTTGAAACTTAGGCAAATCATAGGAACATAGCTGTTCGACTAACTAAGAACCACTCAGACTGTCCATTTATTGGGCAGTGATCCACCTGCAGCAGGAAGTCTGAGGAACCAAGTGGAGGAAAATGAGCAGACTTTTGCGTTAAGGATTTCCCCAAGACAAGACCTAGCCTTGACCATTAACTCACCTCTTCTGCCTCACCTCTTTGCCTTTCTGTTCCTTCCGGCAAGTTCTTAGTTTCAAAGGTTGGACCCTCCACAAGATCAGACAAGATTAGAATTGCACTGACTGTTAAAAGCATTTTTAAGTTTGTTGCATTTGTTTTTCTTTTGACAAAGTGAGACTTAGACAAATCCCTCTAAAAGACTTTCCCAAAGCACCCACTTTAAGTCTAACTTCTACTCCTTTCCTATTAATACTTCCACTGTCTTTGGCAACCCATAAAGCTATCCAAGCTGCTAGGTAAGCGATAATTTTTATCAAAAGTCAAAGTCAGGTGAAAATCAGAACTCCATCCCTAATAGCAGGAGCTGCCAGTTCTCTTACCACCGTTTGATCTACTTAGCAGAACTCCAGTCCACGCAGCCACCGGGGTCATGACCGCCCAAAACTGGAGGCGTTGCCCCGAGCGCGGTTTCTCCGACCTCGCCCACCTGTCACTCACCTGGCTGCAGCTGCCCTCCTCGTCCTTCTCGGTGGTGGTCCCGGGCTCCGGGGGGCTCGGCGCTGGCTCAGTAGGAGGCGGCGGCGGCGGCGGCTCCAAAAGCTGCTCCAGGCAGGCGTTGCCGGGCAAGGAGGAACTCTTCTGATGGCATAAGTGAGCCCCGGGACCCCGATGCTGGGTACTATCATCTCGGGCGCGATCCCCCCTCGGGGGCGGCTGGGGTGAAGAGGACAAGGAGGAAGAGGCGGAGGACGAAGAAGGAGCCGAGTCCGGAGAGCGTCCTCCAGGAGGTGTCGCTCCGGCTGCTCCCGCGGCCGCCGCCAGCCCCTTTCCCACCGGGAGCAAATGCTCGCGGATTCGGCGGCGCAGCGTGGACCCCTGCTCCGCTCTGCCGACGCCGCCTGGCTCGAGAGGCTCCGGGGAGGAGCAGCACAGGTTGGGCTGGGAGGAGGAGAAGACGCGGTCTAGCACTTCCTTGCGTTTCTTGAAGCCGCTCCACCTGCTGCCCGCGCCACCCACGCCGGTCAGGGTGTCCCGCCTGCCCCTGGGGGGAGTCGGGGAGGGCGACGGGGTGTCCGCAGTGCGGCGCTCTGAACCCCCCGCGCGGGTGGCCTTGCTCTTGCCCACCCCCAACTGCAGGTTCTTCCACAGGCGGGCCTGGAAGGAGGAGGACGTCGCCGCAGGCTCGGGCGAGCCAGCTGCAGTAGCCCGGGGCTCCATCCTCCACCCACAGCTCCTCCTCTCCCCTCCTCCTCTTTCTTCTCCACCTTCTCCCGCTGAGCCTCCTCTCGGAGCCCCGCGGCGACGGTGGTGGTGGCGGCGGCGGCGGCGACGGGCGCAGCAGCAGAAGCCGGGGGTGTCCAGCGACTTCGGGCCAGCGCAGGGGAAAGATGCCGCCGTCTCCGCCCAGGCTCTCCGGCCGCGGGACTCCGGCGCCGTCGCTTCCTCCGACACCTGCCGGGGTGAGCTGGCGCTGTCGCTGAGTCCCGTCCGCCGCGCCAGCAAAGTTTCTAGCTGCGTGCTTCGCGGCTCCAGTCCACTGGTGTCTCCCAGGCCGCGCCCTGGCTCCGGCTCCTCGCTGGCTCTGGGCTCCGGGAGCGACACGCGCCGGGAGTGCGCATCCAGCTGCGCCGGGGACCGCACCCGGCGCCCTCCGGGCAGCACCTGTCAGCGGCGGGGGCGGCCACCTCCCAACTGGGCGCGCGCGCGACTCACACGACTGGGCGGATCGGGCCAAAGCCACCCAGGACCTGCAGCTCCGCGGGAGCGCTCCCGGACCATCCTCCGACTCCTAGGTGGGAGGGCAGGCGACCGAGAGCCGGGTGGAGCTGAGTAGGGCCCGGAGCCAGCTTGCTCCTAGGATCCGGTCACAGTTCCCCACGCAGCTCTCTCTGGGCGGGCCACTGAACGCAACCACAGGTTGTGCTCTGGGGCGGGTGATGTGAGGCAGGGTCGAGAGTGAGCGCCCGCTGTGCGTCCTGTGGCGCTCACAGCTTGCATACCAAGAGCCGAAACCCGCGAAGTTCTGAGGCTGAACGCGGCTGCTCCCACCCGATTGCGCGCCCTGAGTCCAAAATGAGAGTTTGATTTCTTCTGTCTTGACTTCATTTCCACCCACTCCACCCCCTCTTTATTTGCACGTACACTGGTAGTTCCTCGTATGACCAAGGTCTGGCAGTTTCCCGAGTCTGACTGACAATATGGTCAGTGCTTAAGTGGCAGGGAACTTACCGAGGACAAAGACGTGAACGATATGCACTGCCTCTGACTCCTTTCCAAAGGCTGTGTGTGTTGCTATTTTCATTCTTGTGCTTTTCACGTGGTTATTTCGTTTGCTTTATTACAAAACAAATGGGAAAGGGCATTTTAGCTTACTCAGACCTTTCCCCCGAAATCTGATACAAGGGTTCCTGATAATACAAAAAAAAAAAAAAAAATCCTCTTGAAAGATAGTTGACAGAGTGACTGCTGCTCTCCACTCCCCTGAAAGATGAACATGGAAGACTTCCTGAGCTTTGGCACAGCGCAGATTCCACTTTTCCTGTAAGTAGCTGTATGCCTCTAGGAGCTACCAATCTCTTTATGCGTTTTATTTCTCCATTTTCATTCCTTTATAAAATATTTATTGAGCACCTACAATAACTATGAACTAGGAGCCGTGATAGGTTCTGGAGGTGCAACTGTGAAAAGGTTCCATCCTTATGGAACCCTATGTTCCAGAGAGGAGTCTGACAAATAACAGATTTTCTAGTAATGAAAAGTTCCATGGAGACAATGAAGCAGGATACCATAACAGAGGGGAAGCCCGCAGAACACCAAATTAAGTTTAAATTTCAAATTAACAATTTGTCAGTATAATTATGTCCTACATATCTTATGCAATATTTACTATTTATTTGAAATTCAAATTTAACGGGTGTTTCATATGTTTAGTCAATATATCTGGCAACCACGTTTGTAGGATTTGTGGGGGAGAGGTGGTTTTTTACTTTATAAAGAGAAAGTGACTCTGAGAAGTTACAGTTTGAGTTGAGAATTAATGAGGACAAAGATTCAGCCACTGAAAGATTTGATTTCAGCATGTCAAGAAGGAACAGCAGGGGCAAAGGCCCTGAAGTTTGACTAAGCATGTTCAAAGAAAGGTGGGGTGCACTCCAAATAGTCTGGAGTGTGGTGGAAAGAGTTGGTAAGAGGTGGAATGGAAGAAATGCCATTCCAGGGCAAGGTCCTGGAATGGCAAGTCTTCTAGCCACCGTAAGACTTTGAGGTATCTGTAAATGAAACTGGGAGTCATCAGTTGGGCATTTAAGCCTGGGGGGTACACGTGATTTACTACTACCTGCCTCACAGGACTATTTAAAGACTAAACAAACAAAGGACTTAGCTCAATGCTGAAGGCTATTTTTGCAACAATGAAGCTGAAAATGCCATGAATATTAAAAAATTACCTGAATATAGGGCTACTCTGACACCCCAAAAGAAACTGTGATACCCAGAAGTCAATTTCTCTCTACTACAGTGAAAATTTTCTTGGTAGGTTTTCTAGGAATATAAGAAACATAAGTTTATAGAAAGTAAGTAAAGAAATTTAGAATTACTGTAGAGAAATGAGGAGAAATGACCACCATTTCTTATAAGAATTCTTTACAAATATGTTTTCATGAAATGAAGTCATGAGCCTAGGGAGATAATGCTACACATTTAACCTTACATTAATAATCATTTAATGATGTATTTTATTGACATTTGTAACTTAAAATTTTATATTTTTTATCGAAGTTTACCATGAAAATACTAACTCTGAAATGCCCCATTTAATACTTGTCCATTAATGTGAACTTATTTATACAGCTTCAAAAGGTATGTGTAACTTCCCTAAATATCAGAGGTAGATTATAAAGTGAGAAGATGTCCTGCGAAGTGTGCATTTTATAAGATTGAACTAGATCTAGAGACCTCCCTGGTGGCCTAGGGGTTAAGTCTCAGAACTGTCACCACCACGACCACCTCAATGGACTACTGTGATGGCCTAAGTTTGATCCTCAGCCAGAAAGCTAACCAACATATGGCATAGCTGACCTCGCCCGCTGCTCCCCTCAGCAGTGTATTTCAGTAGATCTGCCTGTTCTGTTCTCCACTATGTCTCTGGTGAATCCTCATCTCACCCTTCACAGCTCTGCAGGCACGTCAGTTTTTCTTTGCAAAAATAAATAAATAAAATATTTTAAAATAAATAAACTAGATATGATCTCTGCTACCAAATGTTTTATTATATTTAAAATATGATATTTATAAAACTTCTACAATCAAGGAGAATGTGAACAGTATAGACTGATCTCTAAAGGAACATAAAGGAGTAAAAAATAATTTCTTGTTTGACTAATCAAGGAAGATTCCTCACCAGAGTATCATTTGAACTGAGGTCTATTACAGGTGACAGTACACCAAGAAGACAGTTTGCCTCCCAGAGGAAAAGCAAACTTCATGGCATGTAGCAATACTCTGTATATGTTATCGATAGTTTTTCTTACAATTTTCTAACCATCTTAAATATTAGTAGAGCATCAATTCCTTGGATTAATGCAATGAATTTATGCAACATACATCCATAAAAAGGAGGTTGAGAAGAGAATGATAAATGTAATATTTAAGCAGAAACCCACTGGAAGTGAAGGAAAAAAACAAGCAGTGAATCTCAAAAAATATTTCCAGGAAGAGAAAAAATTAAGTGCCAAAAGACTCAAGCAGGAATATAGACAACTGAAGGAATGGTAAGAAAAACAAAGTAGCTGAAATAGAGCATAGAAGATAATGCAGAAATCTCACAGGGCTAGTCAGACTGTAAGCAAGAGTAAGTGTTACAGGGCAGGGAGAGGGGCACCACTGAACCCCCAAACCTGCCTGCTCTTAATAGGTTCTGCCATCTACCACATCAAGAGAAAATATGTAAGACTTTTAATGGAAAGGAACCTTATTATAATTAGTTTGCAACACAGAGAAGACAAAGAATATAGCTTCTAAATCAAAAGTCAAAGTTAGCCATCTCCTCGTGGGTAAAAGCCCACCCAAATGGGACTAGCCCAAAGCAAGGCCTGAACGCCGCCACAAGTCTAAAGCACCTTCTGGCAGGGACCCATGGAAAAGGGTCAGAAATGGCCAGGCAAGTCTGGGAGGAAAAGAGCAAAATCAAATTCAAGATAAACACTGCCACAGTCAACCAACCCCAAGTCTCTTACCCACATCTGTTTCAACCAGACCAGTACCAAGAAGAAGAAAACGCAGTTTCTTCACAAGTCTCTCTACCCCATGTGCCTCACTCAGATCTCTTTCTGGCTCTCTCAACCCAGCTTCCTTCCTCTTCAGTCTGCTCTCCAGATTCTTCTCTCTGCTCAGCTTCACCCTTCTGGGTGTGGCAGGGAACCTGGAACCACCCTTTTCCCTAGGGACCACCCTGTTACATAAGGACTTCAGACTTCATGATGGGAGAGGAGGATAGAGCTTTGGATAGAGAATCTTTATAGCCAAACTAGCATTTTAAAAAACTCACTCTGACCTCTATGTTGACAATAAAGAGGAAGAAGTAGGTGGGTGGAATAGAACTGTAACATATGAAACATAAGAAAATGGCTGGCTTGGACCATGGTGGTAGGTGAGATGGAGTAAAAGTGGTTACATTCAAGATACTCAGAATTTTAAAAGGGAACTGACTAGCCCAACCATAGTTTGGGCATGAGGTACTTAAGCATTATGCCAAATTGTTGCATCATTTCTCATACATAATTCTTATAGCAACCCCATTTACAAATGAAGAAACTAGTCTGAGGCTGATTAAGTGATTTGCAAGGTCACTCATTAATTTTTATTAATTCTTATTAAGTGACTTGCAAAGTCACTAGCAGATTCCAAAGCCAGATGGGTTCTTTAATGCTACAATGCATGCTTAGATTGTTTTTTTTAATTATTAAAAAGGGTCTCAAAAGATGCCTTGATCATGTCGTTGCCTTGAGTGAGCAATAAGACTTTCTTAGACAGAAACATCCATTCAGTGAGATCAAAGGCATAAATGCAAGCGCAAAAACAATATTTCTGGGATTAACGGAGTTAAAAGCCAACCAAATAGCACTTACGGAGCCCTTTAGTCAGGGGAGCCCCTGGCTGCCATCCCAACTCCAGCTCTATGCCAGATGCCTCTGAATCCACATTTGTTTTCTCAGTCTCTAAAATGGGGATAATAATATCTATCAGCCGGATCCATCTCACAGGGACCCAA